GTCGTCCCTGGAGTGAAGGAGGGTGTGGCTGTGGAGCCCGTGGCCACTGTTGTGATGGCTGTAGTGGTCGGCTCTGTGAGGATCCTGGTTGTCCCTGGAGTGGAAGGTGTGGCCGTGGAGCCCGTGGCCACTGTCGTGATGGCTGTAGTGGTCAGCTCTGTGAGGATTGAGGTCTTCCCTGGAGTGAAGGAGGGCGTGGCCGTGGAGCCCGTGGTCATTGTTGTGATGGCTGTAGTGGTTGGCTCTGTGAGGATCCCGGTCGTCCCCTGAGTGGAGGAGGGCGTGGCCGTGGAGCCCGTGGCCACAGTTATGGTGGCAGTGGTGGTTGGCTCTGTGAGGAATCCAGTTGTCCCTGGAGTGGAGGAGGGCAGGGCTGTGGAGCCTGTGGCCACTGTTGTGATGGCTGTAGTGGTCGGCTCTGTGAGGATCCAGGTCGACGCTGGAGTGGAGGAGGGCATGGCTGTGGAGCTGGTGGCCACAGTTATGGTAGCAGTGGTGGCTGGTTCTGTGCGGATCCTGGTCGTCCCCAGAGTGGAGGAGGGCATGGCTGTGGAGCTCGTGGCCACTGTTGTGATGGCTGTAGTGGTCGGCTCTGTGAGAATCCCGGTCGTCCCCAGAGTGGAGGAAGGCATGGCCGTGGACCTCGTGGCCACTGTTGTGATGGCTGTAGTGGTTGGCTCTGTGAGGATCCTGGTCATCCCCGGAGTGGAGGAGGGCGTGGCTGTGGAGCCCATGGTCACTGTTGTGATGGCTGTAGTGGTCGGCTCTGTGAAGATCCCGGTCGTCCCTGGAGTGGAAGGTGTGGCCGTGGAGCCCGTGGCCATTGTTGTGATGGCTGTAGTGGTCAGCTCTGTGAGGATTGAGGTCTTCCCTGGAGTGGAGGAGGGCGTGGCCATGGACTTCGTGGCCACTGTTGTGACGGTTGTAGTGGTTGGCTCTGTGAGGATCCCAGTCGTCCCCTGAGTGGAGGAGGGCGTGGCCGTGGAGCCCGTGGTCACTGTTGTGATGGATGTAGTGGTCGGCTCTGTGAGGATCCAGGTTGACGCTGGAGTGGAGGAGGGCATGGCTGTGGAGCTGGTGGCCACAGTTATGGTGGCAGTGGTGGCTGGTTCTGTCTGGATCCTGGTCGGCCCCAGAGTGGAGAAGGGCATGGCCGTTGAGCCCGTGGCCACTGTTGTGATGGCTGTAGTGGTCGGCTCTGTGAGGATCCCGGTTGTCCCCAGAGTGGAGGAAGGCGTGGCCGTGGACCTCGTGGCCA